AAAAAAAAAAGTCTGAAAATTGATACTGGTATTTACACTACTATACATCTATTGTAGTGTTGGAGCACCCTGACTCAAGTTAAATTTTCATTTATGGTGAATTCTGAAAAAAACAACAATAATTTAAACTAAAAACATAAATCAATAATGAATAAAGTTACTAAAGCTTGTTGGTATTAATAGTCCAGTACAGCGATGCAGCTCTAACACTGTAATTCTACGTTTTCTTTTTTTAAATTACTCAGTTTTAGCATGACTTTAAGATAATTATAACATAATATCATATTAACATAAAAATACAGTCTTATTATTGTCAATTAATTTTATGATCTGATCACAGTCTTTTCATATCTTTAGCCTTTGGCATAGTCAAGTCAAGTCTGTCATTTCCAACCTTAAAGCAAAAAATACTGTACATCTTGGAGACGACCTTAAAGACCGTTCAGCAAAATATTATAGAGCCTTCATAAACTGACAGTCCTACGGGAACCCTGCAGGATCACAACAGCAGTTTTGATCAGGGCAGCTATTATGCATTTCCCCTCAATGTAGTAATATACCTACACTCACTAGTCATTTTATTAGGTACACCCTACTTCAGTTATCAGTTTGCGCCCCCTTTTGCCTTGAGGACTGCCCTAATTCTTCATGTATGGATTCAAGGAAGGTGTTGGAAACATTCCTCAAAGATTTTGGTCGATATTGACAGGATAGCATCACACAGTTGCTGTGGATTTGTTGGCTGCACTTCTATGATGTGAATCTGGATTGATGATCTGGTCACTGTGGAGACTATTTGAGTACAAGTAACTCACTGTCACTATCAGGAAACCAGACTAAGATGATATGAGCTTTTTTATATGAGCTTCGTGATATGGCACGTTGCCCTGCTAAAAGTCACAATGTGGTCTTCTTCCACTATAGCCGATCTGCTTTTAGGTTCAGTATACTACATGCAGAAGAGCATCTTCTTTTGTAATGAATGGTTATTTGAGTTACTGTTACTCTCCTATCAGCTCAAAGCAGTCTCCTCAGCAAGACAGTTTTGCTGGCGGAACTACTGCTCACAGGATATTTTTTCTTTTTTGGACCACTCTGTAAACCCTACAGATGGTGGGAAAATCCCCTTAGGTCAGCAGTTTCTAAAATACTCAACAGTCAAAGAATCCTCTCCAGACACATAAAGAAGGACACTGTAAACCTTTAAGCATTTATTGCTTATTATTCCTTTTAGAAGGATGAGTTTCTGCCTGGCTGTGTGGGTGAAGTTGTGGATGATTTTACTTCACTTTTGGTTGAATCTGAAACTATTCGATCTAGGAAGCACTTCTGTCTGATGTGTCTCAGCCTTCATTTTAACAACCAAAGTTCAGTCGTGGCTACAGTGACAGTGACAGCTATATCTCAGTGAACCTTGGCAGTTGTCGGTGTGAGAGCTGTTGAGATTTAGCTTCTCTACTTCTCTTTGAAAACGTAGTGGTAAAACACTCCACTAAAGAGCTAGCACTACTGTAGTAATGCAGTTCTCAAATGGACTGAAGTAAGCAGGTGCTGAAATGGGCCAAGCTTTGAAACTGTTAATCCTCACGCAGTAAATTTAGACCTCAGCTGAGTTCAAGACGAAAAGCAGCAGACTGACAGTGTCACATTGTTGCCATATTTTACTTAGTGCTCTGTTTCAAGGCGCGAGACAATATCAAGTGAAAATGTGTGCTTCTTAGAATTATGTATAGCAGCTGCAAGGCAAAATATTTACAAGAAAACGCATTTAAATTTCAAAGAGTTCACATTGTTCCAATTATCTGTTAAGGGCACCTGTTTAAGCACAAAGTAGCAGACTGCAGAACACACATTTAATCAAGAAGGAACAAAAAAACTGCAAAGATGAGAAATTCTCATAACACAGGATAATGGATAATCAGCATCTGGTTTGTGCTATTTTGAAGGCTAGAGTTACTACACTGCACATGTTCAACCACTATGTTAAACAAGTGCAACATATACGGACCATCCAAATAAAGAGTGTTACATTGAGTTGTCTGATTGCAAGGCCACAATGCCCTTCTGCAGTCAGCTTTGGCCCAGAGATCTAAGAAGGAAATCTGATAGCCCAGCAGAGAGTACTGTAGCAGAGATAAACTTGTTTAAACTAAATACTTGATATAACTATAGTACAGTCAATTATGTAAGAAATCCTAAGTAAAATATACTAAAAACCT